ACCGTGGGCATCAGTGCCCCCCCAACAGATAATGTTAGTGACTGTTGCTGGCTTTTTTCCAACAGGGATACAAGTGTGGGGGTAAAGCACACTAACTATACAGGAACACGCTGGTGTTGGCACTCCGGGACTACTCTTGCTACCCTCCAGTCCTACCCTAAAGAGCTATCACCCTCTTCCAGCCTGGCCCATGACTCAAGACACAAGTTACCCTGCCCCAACCCCTTGGCTGGGCTAAGTGTGTGAATATGAGACCGAGGGTCCCCTTGGTCACGATGACAATGAGAGGACATCAAAAAGAAGACAGTATCTGTGATGAGACCTTGCTTTCATGAAGAATAGAAAAGCAACCCGATTATAAACCAGGTGAAACCCCCTTGGAATGATGGGGTGGTACTGTGGTCACTTTGCCTGTATCACACTTGTTGCGGTGGTTACGTGCCGTGGAGTCGATTCCGACTCATAGTAACCCTGTACAGGGTTTCTGAGGCTGTAAATCTTTACAGCAGCTGAAAATCTCATCTTTCTCCTGCGGAACAGCTGGTAGTTTTGAACTGCTGGCCTTGTGGTTCCGCAGCCCGATTCGTAACCACTATGCTACCAGAACTCCTTCTGTATCATACTAACTCCCTTCATATTGTGATTTGGGTGGGGCTGGCTGAGTGGTGGTCTCAGGTCAGTCTTGGCAATCATTTCCATGCCCTTTGCAACCACTACTATTTCAGGAAGAGAGTAAGACCCAGACCTTTGTCAATCAACACGTGCTATTTCTCCAGCCACCGTTCATGGGTGAGTCTGACAGAATGAAGACTGTTGTCAAGTGCAGTCAGATCGGCCCCAATCCACAGCAATCCTGTATAGGGTTTCCTAGGCTGTGAATCTTTGCGGGAGCAGAAAGCCTCACCTTCTTCCCACAAAGATTAGGACTTTTCAAGGACTGGGAGAAGTCTCCCTCAATCTGGTTGTGACTGGGAAAACATGCCATCAGAAGCTGCTGGGAACCACCATAATAGCATGAAGCAAGGCCATCTTGAGCAGGAAGTTGGAGAAGAACAGAGAACCGGGACGATGGCTGCCCTGATGGCCACCCAGCTGCTAGATGTTCAAGGAACTGCCCTTGTTTGTACTTGCCTGAGTAGCTGTTTATCCTGCTTGCTATACAAAGTGTGTTTATGGGTTGTTGTTGTTGTTGTTGTTAGGTGCCATCGAGCCGGTACAGACTCATAGTGATCCTATGCACAACAGAACGAAACACTGCCCAGTCCCAGGCCAACCTTACAATTGTTTCTGTGCTTGAGCCCATTGATGCGGCCACTTGGCCAATCCATCTCGATGGGGGTCTTCCTCTTTTTCTCTGACCCTCCACCTTACCAAACATGATATCCTTCTCCAGCGACTGGTCCCTCCTGACAATATGTCCACAATATGAGAGACGAAGTTTGGCCATCCTGGCCCCCAGGGGGCACTTTGGCTGCACTGATAAAGCATGAATTATTTATTCCTCATGCACACATGTCTGGAAGTGTGGAAATTCCCAAACACCTGGACAGGTTAGCAATGGTCCACTGCCATAGATTCTAACCACCTTATATGATAGAATAGAATTACCCCTGCATGGTTTCCATGGCTGTAAAGCTTTACAGAAGCAGACTGCCAAATCTTTTTCCCTTGGAGTGGTTTGTGGGTTCAAACTGCTGACCTTTCAGTGAGCAGCAAGGCGCTCAACCACTACACCACTAGGACTCCTTTTGATTAGCAACAAGTAGCCTCAAATGTCAGGCGCCCTGATGGTAGAGTGGTTGAAGGCTCAGCTCTAACCGAAAGTTGGTTTGAACCCACCTAGCAGCTCTGCGAAGGAGCTCTGGTAGCGTAGTGGCTACGAATCGGGCTGCGAACCGCAAGGTCAGCAGTTCGAAACTACCAGCTGCCCCGCGGGAGAAAGAGGAGGCTTTCTGCTCCCGTAAAGATTTACAGCCTCGGAAACCCTGTACAGGGTCGCTGTGGGTCAGAACCGACTCCATGGCTCTTAGCAACAACAACAGCAGCTGTGCGAGAGGAAGGACCTGGAATGTGTCCCAGTAAGATGACAGTTTCATAAACTATGGGGCAGTTCTGTTCTGTCACCTGGGGTCACTACGGTCACTACGAGTTAGAATCAATCCCATGGCACCCAACACAGCATCAAATGTTAAAATACAAAGGGTGGCATAAAAGGTCCCAGAAAACATATGACTTTGTGTGTGTGTGGGGGGGGGGGACACCACATACTCACAGAGTTGCAGGCAACCTCTTTTTCACATCAGCCTTGGGGAGCTAACTTTTAGTGACCTTCGAGTAAATCTAACTAAAAAGAACTTAAAAAAAAAAATCAACCTGCAGGATCTGGGGTCGATGTGTGTGCTCATTAACACCACTACCCAAACCAGCTGATTCGTATGACGACCCCACATGCGCCGAGGGCTGTGCCGCTATGTAAGGTTTTCAAAACTGTGACCCTTCAGAACAGATCAGAAGGACTTTCTCCTTAGGCCGCTTTGGATGTGGTCAAACCACCAACCTTTTGTGAGTACTCAGGTGTTTCATTGTTTGGGCCACCCAGGGACGTCTCATTAAATCCAATATGTATTTAAACCTGAATATCCAATCTGCTGGCATTTGTTTTTCCTCCTCTTTTCAGCACAATCCCTGAAAATGATTTTGACATGACAGGAAGTGTTGGTCTCTCTCACAGCTACAACCTGCTTCAGTGAATTGTGGTGTACCATCAAGCGGATCTGGCCTACAGTGAGAGTAGGACTGCCCTAGAGGGTTTCCTAAGGCTTAGTCTTTATGGCTCAATCGGTCTTAAAATAAACTTAGCCAGAAGGTTTCTTAGCAGTGAGACTAGTGAGACTTCATCTCACATACTTTGGACTTGTTACCAGGAGGGACCAGTTCCTAGAGATGGACATTGTGCTTGTTAAATCGAAGGTGAGTGATAAGAGGCAGTGCCTCAGTGAGATGAAATGCCAGAATGAGTTCCAAGACAGCAAGGACGATGACGATGATGCAGAACTGGGCAGAGTTGGGTTTTGCTGTGCATACAGTTGCCATGAGTTGGATTTGACTGGATGGCACCTAATAAGAGCAGCAGTCTTACAGAAGCAGGATGGCAGATGTTTTCTCCTGTGGAGCTGCAGGATGGATTTAAAGCACTGACGAATCAATTGGCAGTCAAGTGCTTAACCGCTGCTCCATTAGAACACCAGTTCAAGGACATGGTCTTCCTTTATTAAAAGCTTTATTTAAAAATGTAACAACGGAGCATTGTGAGAAACTTTGGCATTTGAAGCAGTTAGTTATTTGTGAACTCTGAAAAAAGTGCTCTTTTCCACAGTAGGCTGGAAAAATTGCAACACTCAGTAGATGGGTGGCTCCCACAGTTGTGTTGTAGGAGTATGTAAGGGGTCTGGGATGTGGAGAACACTGAAGCCCCTCCAGCTCTTAACCCCAGCAAGGGATTCACAGTGGTGACAAACGGGATATCTGAACTCGAGAGTAGAAAGGGGGAGAAATGTCCCGGGGTTGACTGGTGGCAGGCATTCCTCTCCCCCTTTACTGAGGAAACTGAGACCCAGGTATATGGACAATGGATTTGGAGAGTTGGGTTTAGAACACGAGTGCTCTAAGTTCCTTGTGTGGGACTCCCCTAACCACCATTCAAAACCACTCTGAGTGTTACCAACTCTTACTCATGTGCTACAGGGTAGAACTGCCATCCTCAGGATTTTCTTTGTGAAAGGAGATCTCCAGGTCTTTGTTCCGTGGTGTCACTGGGTGGGTTCGAACTGCCGATCTTTAGATTATTTGTTGTCATTAGTTGTGATTGAGGCACTCCAGTATCGTAGTTGTCCTGACTTGGGCTGCTAATCTCACGGTCAGAACTTTGAAACTACCAGCCGCTCCATGGGAGAAAGATGGGGTTTTCTGCTCCTGTAAAGATATACAGCCTTGGAAACCTTATATAGGGGTCACTGCGAGTTAGAACCGACTCCACGGCGCACCAATGGCAACAACAACGAGTTGTGATTGAGTCGATTCTGACTCACAGTGGTGGCAAATGGCTAAGTACTCAACTCCTAGTTGGAAGGTTGACGGTATGGACCCACCCAGAGGTACCCTGGAAGAAAGGTCTGGTGGTTGGCTACCAAAAGGTCATGGCCTTGAGACCCTATGGTGCAATTCCACTCTGCACACATGGGGTTGCTATTAGATTAGCAGTCAAGGGAAACCCATTTGTGGCACCCATTACCATTAGCACCAAATAACAACAACAACCAACCAACCCTGTTGCCATTGAGTTGATTCGGACTCATAACAACCCTATACGTCAGAGTTGAACTACCCCGTAGGCTTTCCAAGACTGTCATCTTTACGGAAGTAGAAAGCCACAGCAGTGGAAGGGTTCAAACTGCTGACCTTTTGGTTAGCAGCTGAGTGCTTCAACTCTGCTCCCCCAGGGCTTCCTACCACCTACAGTAAACCTTACAATGTCCCCAAATACGCTAGGCATCCATCCACAGGCTGACTCTCTTACAGATCTTCTGATTCTGGGTAAGGAATGAGTATCTATAGCCTAAAGGCCATTTCCACAGTCACAAGACCCCCCCGGGAAGGGACTGTAGTACTACCGAGCTACGCTTGTGCTCCAACAGACGGACTGCTCACAGTGAGGACACTAAGGAGAGATCCCTAGGGCTTTTGTTGGTGCAAGTGGTTTGCGTCAGCTGCTAATCTAAAGATTGCTGGTTCAAACCCACCCAGTGTGGTACCACACAATAAAGACAGGTGATCTATATCCATTAAGACGACAACCATTGGAAACCGTACAGAGCGGTTCTAATCTGACACAAACGGGAATGTCATGAGTCAGAATCGACTTACTAGTAACTAATGTCAACAGTGTGAGAGCTGACGCTTGATGAAGCAAACCCCACACGCAAGTGCTCCCCATGCTTCTCCTAGGTGTGAATCCTCAGGTGCCGAGTAAGGTTAGTGTTCCGACTGAAGGTTTTCCCACATTCACTGCATTCATAGGGTTTCTCTCCTGTGTGGATTCTCTGGTGGACTGTAAGTGAAGAGTTCTTGATGAAGGACCTGCCACACTCGTTGCATTTGTAGGGCTTTTCTCCGGTGTGGATCCTCTGGTGCTCAATGAGGTATGCGCTCTGGCTGAAGGATTTCCCACACTCGTTGCATTTGTAGGGCTTCTCTCCAGTATGGACAATCTGATGCACAATGAGAGATGAGCGTCCCGTGAAGTGCTTCTTGCAAATGTAGCACTCGTAGGGTTTCTCTCCTGTGTGAATCCTTTGGTGTTGAGTGAGAGATGAGTTCTTGCTGAATGCCTTCCCACACTCGTTACATTCAAAGGGTTTCACCCCAATATGAAATCTCTGGTGCTGGATGAGGTAAGAACTCTGGCTGAAGGCTTTCCCACACTCATTGCATATATAAGGTTTCTCTCCAGTGTGTTTTCTCTGGTGGAGAGTAAGGGATGAGCTCTTACTGAAGGCTTTCCCACACTCCTTACACTCGTAGGGCTTCTCTCCAGTATGAGTCCTCTGATGTTCAGTCAGGTGCATATTTTGGCTGAAGGCTCGTCCACACTCACTACACACATAGGGTTTCTCTCCAGTATGTGTCCTCTGGTGTACAATGAGGTGCATGTTCTGGCTGAAGGCTTTCCCACAGTCCCCACAGATGTAGGGTTTCTTTCCGGTGTGGATTCTCTCGTGCTGCGTGAGGGACGAGGTCTTCCGGAAAGCTTTCCCACACACGCTGCACACATACGGCTTCTCCCCAGTGTGAGTCCTCTGATGCACAATGAGATTCGTTCGCTGGCTGAAGGCTTTCCCACACTCGTTGCATTTGTAGGGTTTCTCTCCAGTGTGAACTCTCTGGTGAATGGTGAGGGAGGAGCGTTCAATGAAGTGCTTCCCACAGATGTTACACTCAAATGGTTTCTCTCCCGTATGAATCCGTTGGTGTTTTATCAGGGAGGAGCTCCGGCTAAAAGCCTTGCCACACTCACTACAATCGTAAGATTTCTTCTCTACATAGAGTTTCAAGGGTTTATTTATGTCTGAGTTGCTTGCGAAGTGCTTTTCATGCATTGCAATTGGAAGGGCCTTTATTTCTGTTGGATCTTCCAGACTTGGTGGCACCAAGGTTGAATTCTGGTTAACAGCAGCCTTAAATGCATTATAATCAGGACCTAATTCCCTAGTGAGCTTGTTGTCATGAGAAATTTCCAGTGACTCCAAATGGGTGTCTGCACTTCCCGGCTGCCTCTCCCGGCAGTCGCTCTGTTTCCATGTTCCTTCTAAGGTGAAACACCAGCCACCATTCCTTGTAGACCCCTCTGCAACCACCCTACAGGATGGTTTGTCTTCTAAAATGTCCTCCTTTCGATCTGATGCTTTCATTTCAGGTCTAGTGTCCCAATCTAGAAAAAAACAAAAACAACAACAACAAACAAAAAAGCAAAAGAAGTAAAATATATGTTGATATCAACCTGGGAGTAAAGGACACGTGAAGTGGGGATGGGGAAATGAACCCAAAGAGGCAATGATCAAGGAACAGACAGAGCAAATAACAACCTGTCAACTGGAGAGGAAGGGAAGAGATAAGCCATGATCTGAAGATAAATGTGGTTTAAAGAGGCAGAATCAACATACAGAGTGAACAGACAGAGTGGGATGAAAGGGAAAGGGATGGAAACAGCAGCCAGCAGGTGGTCGCTCCGGAGACAGACCGCTAGGGAAACTACAAGAGGCAAGCTGGGATAGAAGGGAGTGAATCCAAAGATTTTCACTACTTGGTGTTGTTGCTGTTAGCTTCTACTGAGTGGGCCCACAATGCATGGTGACCTCACACACAATGAACAAAATGCCACCAGGTTCTACACCACACCTCTCTTTAGCTGTGGAGCAGACGGTTGTGACTCATAGCTATCACTGGCTGATTTTTAGAAGTAGAATGCCAAGCATTTCTTCCTGGTCTGTTTTAGCTTAGAAGCTCCACTGGCCCTGTATCTGCTTATTATACGCCTCCCCCCTATTAGGAGGTAAAATCCATGACAGCAAGGATGGTGTCCATCCCTGGCTCCTACAACAGTTCTTGGCTCACAGAAGGTACCAGACTAACAGGTAGTGGGCATTTAAGATGCAGCAAGCACAGGTCTAGGCAATGTGGATGAATTATCTCATGTGATTACCAAAGCCATACGTAAATTAGGGACAATCGTGTTGTGTGCTGTCGAGTTGATTTCTGACTCATGGCAATCCTGGGTGACAAAGCAGAACTGCTCTATAGCGTTTTCTAGGCTGTGATTTTTACTAGTACAGATCTCCAGATCATTGTCCCAAAGAAGTGCTGGGTGGGTTCCAGCCACCAGCTTTTTTGCAGACAGGCCTGGTGGTGTACTTTCAAAAGCCCACCACCTTGAAAACCCCTATGGAGCAGTTCTAGTTGGCACACAGAGGTAACCATTGACTTGACAGCAATAGGAGCAGAGTGCTGACTCTGAGACGCTGAGATAGGAAAGAAAGAAAAGACAGAAATGGATGTCACTAGAGAACTGAAATCTGTTCCTGAACGTACAGAAACTAAAAGATCCATAAGAAATGATGAAGTCAAAGAGCAGAACAGAACATTTCAAAGGGAAGAAGCTCAAAAGGACAATGCAAAGATGATGATGAAACGGACAAAGACCCGGAATTAGAAAACCAAAAGGGAAGAACACGCTCAGCATTTATCAAGCTAAAAGAACTGAAGAAAAAATTCAAACCTTGGCCTGAAATATTGAAGGATTCTGTGAGCAAAATATGGAAAGACTCGGGTAGCATCAAAAGAAGATGGGAGGAATACACAGAGTTAGGGCACACAAAAAATAATAAATGGTTCATGTTCATCCATTTCAAGAGGTGGCACATAATCGAGGAATGATGGTTATTGAAGGAAGAAGTAAGTTCAAGCTGCAAGGGGAGCACTGGCTAAAAAGAAGCCTCCAAGAATTACTGGAATACAAACGGGAATGTTTCTACAAAATGATGCAGCATTGGAGCCATGCACTCATCTAGACCAAGGAACTGGGGAGACAGCCACCCGGCTAGACAACCAATTGGAAGAAATCCATATTTGTGCCCACACCAAAGAAAAGTAACACACTGGAAAGTGAAAATCATCAAACAATATCATATGCCAGTCAAATTTTGCAGAAGATAATTCAAAATTGGTTGCAGCAGTGCATCAGCAGTGAGTTGCTAGAAATTCAAGCCAGCTTCAGAAGAGGACATAAAATAAGTGATACCATTGCTGACATCAGATGGGTCTTGGCTAAAAGCAGAGAATGCCAGAAAGAGGTTTACTGGTGCTTTATTGACTATGCAAATGCAGTAAACTGTGTGGACCATAACAAACTATAGATAATACTTCAGAATACTTTACTGTGCCCATGAGTTGCCTGTACATACATCAAGAGACAGTTATTAGAACAGAACAAGGGGGATCTGGAATGGTTTAAAATCAGGAGCAGTGTGCATCAGGTTGGATCATTTCACCCTATCTATTTGAGCATAAAGATTAATAGCCTAAAAAAAAAAATTGATATCCTAGGCACTAATGGGCTGAAATGGATTGGTGTTAGCCATTTTTAACCTGACGGTCATGGTTTACTATGCCACGAACGACAAATTCAGGAGGAATGGCATTGCATTCATCATGAAAGAGTATCTCAAGATCGATCTTGATGTACAACACTGTTGGTGATAGGATAATATCCACACGCCTACAAGGAACACCAGTAAATATCACTATTATTCAAATTTATACACCAACCACTAAAGCCAGTGATGATAAAACTGAAAAATCCTATCAATTTCAGTCTGAAATTGATCAAACATGCAATCAAGATGTATTAATAATTATTGGTGACTGGAAAGCAAAAGTTGAAACCAAGAGGAAGGCTCCATAGTCGGAAAACATGACTTTGGTGAAAGAAATGATGCCAGAGAGCACACCACCGAATTTTACAAGTTCAATGACTTATTCATTCCAAATACCTTTTATAAATGACGTAAAAGATGACTACACACACGGATCCTGGTGTGGCGCTGTGGGTTAATGCACAAGACTGCAAAGCCATTTGAACTGCAAGGTCGGTGGTTCATGCTCACCAGCTGCTCCTTGGAAACCATATACAGGGTCGCTATGGGTCGGAATCGACTTGATGGCACTTAACAACAACAATGACACACATGGACCTCACCAGATGGAATACACAGGAGTCAAACTGAGTACATCTGTGGAAAGACATGGTGTGAAAAGCACAGTAACATCCACCAAAGCAAGGGCAGGTGCCAACTGTGGAACACAACAGGCAAGTTCAGGCTGAAGCTGAAGAAAACTTTAAATGGTCCACGAGAGCCAAAATATGACCTTGAACATATTCCCCCTGAATTTAAAGACCATTTCAATAAGAGACTTGACACATTAGACGCTTATGGCTGAAGACCAGAAGTTTTGTGCAAGGAAGCAAAAGGTCATTAAAAAGACAAGAAAGAAAGACCAAAATGGTTGTCAGAATAAACTCTGAAACTTGCTCTCCAGCACAGAGATGCTAAAGCGAAAGGAAGAAATGAAGATGTAAAAGAGCTGAACAGAATATTTCAAAAAGCAGTTCAAGAAGACAAAGTACTATAGTGAACTATGCACAGATCTGGAGTTGAAACAAAAAGTGAAGAAAATGCTCAGCATTTCTCAAGCTGAAAGAACTGAAGAAAAAATTCAAGCCTCGACTTGAAATACTGAAGAATTCTATGGGCAAAATATTGGACAATGCAGAGAGCATCAAAAGAAGATGGAAAGTATACAGAGTCACTATACCAAAAAGAAATGGTCAACGTCCAACCATTTCAAGAAGTAGGCATATGATGAAGATGTGAAGGGAGAAGTCCAAGCTGCACTGAAGGCATTGGCAAAAACAAGGCTCCAGGAATTGATGGATACAAAATGAAATCTTTCATCAATTCCTGATGCATCACAAAGGCACTCATTCATCTATGCCAAGAAACCTGGAAGACTGGGAGAGACCCATATTTGTGCCCGTTCCAAAGAAAGGTGACCCAACAGAATGTGGACATCATCTAACAATATTTATCAATAATATCAGTTGCAAGAAAAATTTTGCTGAAGATAATTAAAAACCGACTGCTGCAGAACATCAACAGGGAATTGTCAAAATCTGAGCCAG